TCGAATGGAATTTGTTCTGTATGGCATGCGCGTAGATCGATAGAGAGCACAGTACTATAGCGCTTGTTGAGTCAGTGCTAACAATAGAGGTCACTTGAAACATTGCATCTTCACTCTAATTCGTGCATCTTTGACGTCCATCCCGTGGACAGGAGAGATTCATTTGTTTTGTTTATTTATTTACTTATCTTGCTCAGATCGAACATTGTTGTTGTCATCCTTCAACTCAGGCACGTGTACAGAAGTTAACGCTAACGAATAAGTTTCTATTCATTCATTTCGAGCACAATAATGCAAACGATTAAATGTGTGGTCGTAGGAGATGGTGCAGTCGGTACGGGAATATGAATCTTTTTTTTTTGACATAATTATCGATATTCTTTTCTCCAGGAAAAACATGTTTATTGATTAGTTACACAACGAATAAATTTCCAAGTGAATATGTTCCAACTGTACGTATTCTCTTACGAAAAAAAAAGATATTAATAATTAGCGATTTGTTTTTTTTTCACGCCATAGGTATTTGATAATTATGCTGTTACAGTTATGATTGGTGGCGAACCATATACATTAGGTTTATTTGATACTGCTGGTATGTTGGATTATGTGATTGAATTTCTGAATGTATGCTGAGGAAAAAACCGCATACTTTAGGTCAGGAAGATTATGATCGTCTCCGTCCATTGAGTTATCCTCAAACGGATGTCTTCTTGGTGTGCTTTAGTGTTGTGTCACCGTCATCATTCGAAAACGTTCGTGAAAAAGTAAGTGTCATCTTTCGTACGAACCTTACATAATCAAACGGAATATGTACGGTTCCTTGTAACAAATGAAAGCCATTGAATATGATTGCGTTCGCTAATGAGTTCTCTTAGTAATTAATATCCGAGATCGATTAAATTCATTGAATGTATACAGTCTGTTTTGTTAGAATTCAATAGATTAATGAAAATCCCTTTTGACTAGATTATTATATAATAACTCTATTGAATGCCCTGGAGACTTCTATGAGAGCGCAGTTCATTTGCATATTCGATGATAATCAACCTTGACCCAGTGAAATTATTCGAATAAGAACATCTTTCTTTTCTTGTCAATTAGTGGGTGCCCGAAATCTCTCATCATTGTGCTAAAACTCCATTTTTACTTGTTGGTACTCAAATTGATCTTCGGGAAGATCCTAATACTATGGAAAAACTACAAAAGTCTCGCCAAAAGCCGACGTCATCTGAACAAGGGGATAAACTTGCGCGAGAACTCAGAGCTGTCAAATATGTCGAATGCAGCGCATTGACACAAGTAAGTAAATCATTGCATTGCAAATGTTGTCAATAATTCGCGTCGTTCTTGTTTATAGAAAGGTTTGAAAAACGTCTTCGATGAAGCTATTCTGGCCGCACTTGAACCGCCGAAAAAATCCAAGAAAACAACATGTGCACTGCTATAAAACAAAAGCAAACGACCAAATCGAATGAGTCGTGTTCATACCAAAGAGAAACACACAGACAATTTTCCTTTGCATCTTTTCTTTTCTTTTTCAATTTAACTAACTTGGTCTTTTTCGTCTTTTGTGAGAATTGGTTTCTTCTATTAGATGTATGTGTCATTGAGTATTATACAGAGAAAGTGAGAGAAACGTTGTTTCTTTTCGTTAAACTAAAAAGCAAACGCAAATGATTTTTTTTTGTTCCTTCTTTCTTCTCATCAATAATCTCTTCTAATCTTGTGTGTTCCATCATCAACTATATATATACATATATACATATACATGTTTGTCTTTTGTCGATGTCTCTTTTTTTTTATCTGTATACCAACATAATATCTTTTGCCTGGTCTTCGTCAATAGTATAAACGATTGCAAACTTTGAATGCAAGCAAATGACTTGTTTTATTATCGATAGAAGTTGACGCGAAATAGTCCCCGACTAATGGCAGTCACATCTCGACGAAGTCTTTTGTTTACCTCTCTGCAGGAGATCTCTTTTCTTAACATTGAGACGAATGTTAAAACAACAAAGTCGATAATCGATAGACTGTCAATTAATTCTGACAGTTCAGCTAATGCCTTCGTTCTTGAATGCAGAATTCCTATCATACATATGTACTCACATTTAGGGCGTTGTTTGAACACTTCTGATGTTTACTTATTAATAATGAAAATATCGCACAGAATAACTATTGAAATTGAAAAATACGCAAGTGTTCTACTTCATGGGAATATCATCAATATGATGAATAGTTTAATATCTAAATTTATTGAAAACTTTAGAAGGAGAAAACGCCAATTAGCTAATAACATGTGATTGTCATGCAACTTCTGGCAATGCTTAATGACGTAGGTTTTAATATGTTCTTAAATATGTATCCGAAACTTCCCTAGCAGACAAAAATTTGCAAAAACGCGTTTAAACGTTCAGTCGGGAACCTCGACTGTGGTCTAAACACGGCAACCAATAAAACGTTAAAACGCTACAAATCAGACATTTTCGGCGATTTAACGGACTCTTTTTACACACTTGAAAAGCTATGCGTTAAATCGCTGAAAATGTCTGATCTGTAGCGTTTTAACGTTCTGAAAGTGCGAATTACACGTTAACAACGGCGTTTTTGACGTTTTATTATTTGCCGTGTTTAGCCTACAGTCGAGGTTCCCGACTGAACGTTTAAACGCGTTTTTGCAAATTTTTGTCTGCTAGGGAATTATGCGCAAATACGAGCAGGATCTTTCGTGATCTATCTTTGGAAAGGCACACACTTCTATAGTTGAATGAAAGGCCAAATGTGATTAATTCAGATACGAGAGGATAACTGAAATCGATGGCATAGATGCCTTGCTTTAATATCTCTTTAGCGCACCGTCTAATATAACAGGACGAATCAGATGACTATCTTCTAAAACCTAAACACATAATTCAAGTGAAACAACTAACGATGAAATGAGCTTTACTGTGAAATCCAATCTTTTCATTTCAACTAGAATATAATTCGCGTCATGAAGAGCACAGTCCGGTAAATTTGTTTGGTTTTTTTTTCAATTATATTAATTGCTTTCACTGCACTTATCATAATTGACGTTGAAAACCAAAAGCTAAGAAAATCATACTTGAAACTGAAACCTTTTCCGATTAACTAACGGTGGAAAGCAAGCAGTGCTTTCTCTAACGTGGTATTAATGATATACATATACCTAGACACATAGATTAAAATGTTCTTTGATTTCTCCAACTCATCGTCCCAAAACATATTTGTAATGAATCTTTTTTAGTGATAAATCCATTCATAGAAAATACACCACCAGAAACAATTCATTGTGTATTTTGAACAAGTTTTCAGTTTCTATGAGACGAATACTTGTTCCGTTAGCTTTATAAGAGAAAAATAGACGAGAAGTATTTTTCGCGTAACTCTATGAAGAGTAGTATATACATATGTTTAAAGTGATCGGGTTGTGTACTTTTCTCTCCATGTTGTCAAACAGTAAGAGTTGCATGAATCGTTTTTCACTGAAGCATTTAGTACAAAAATATTGTCTTGTGAGTTAGTCTCGTTTTATTTAAATGCAAACGATAAAATCATCTGCAAGTAAATGGTGCGATGGCCAACAGAAAAAACACTTCAACACAGAATAACAATTACTACAGTTATATTGTAAGCAACCAACCGTTTCCAGCAAAGCTCGTTAAAATGCTAAAAAGATACACGTTCTTTTAGAAAATAATGTGATTACTACATTATTCTTCTCCTATGACATTTTATATCGCAATGTGAAAATGTTGCACCTACAATTACATTCGAATCTATGGTAGGTCTATGAATATAGTAATACTCACCCTTGCAATAGCATCAGGACTGCCAGATGCTTCTTCAGATCTTTCATTAGCCTTCAAAATAAGTGGCATTAACAACATGGAAGGAAATTTATATTCACCACAGAAAAGTTAAATAAACGCATCAACACAATCAGCAATTGTCGGATAAACGGATGAGTGAGCTGCACTTCCGATATTTTAATAATAGGTTCTATTTGAGCTGTAATATTACACTTTACCAGCTGAACTACTCTTTAAACAACTTACTTAACGAGCTCTCGTTCAGATTAGAAAAAAGTATTGCAAACAGCTGTAGCGCGGAAGTCGATAGTACCTATAAACTCATCAATTGCCATATCCTCTTGGGTATTTTCCACTGTGAATGATATCCGAACACCTCTTCTATGTCTTGATAACATGACGAAATGAAATTCTACCAAAATGAAGAGATAAACTAAATCACTTGTTTAAATAGAGAGCGTAATCGGAATGATAGAAATCATGGAATAAAAATCTATTTTTCTCTCTATGATATCACTACTTAGTTAACTGATAATTTGACGTTCGGTGAACGCATCGAGGGACGAAGCAGCGTGCTTTTCATTGTTTGCATAGGTATGTTTTCATTTCATTTTTGTTAATATAGCTGAATATAAATCTCCAAGCAGATGACTATTTAGTAATAAGGGTGATTTCACGTGTTATTTGATTGAACTAGAATCATTGATAAAGTGCTCTCCAATCCATTGTAAATCCCGAGAAAACTTTTTTTAATTCAAATATTTTTGTCATTATTACATTTACCACTGTTTCGTATACCGAACGGCGAGAACTGCAAATCGATAGTTGTTTTTTCTCGAGCTCTTCGAAAAAATGTTCTCGTTCATTCTATTGCGCGAATAATAATGATATAGCTTTATTCTTCTACTAAAGTTTCAAAAATACCTGTATTGGCATCTTCCAATTGATGAAGTTTTCTATGCACTGGCATAGTAGATTTATTTATTAGTTTTGCCAAAGTCAAGAGGCAACAAAAGTTTTTGTTGTAATGATAAAAACAATTGTAATGCTCGTGATGTCACCCTCTGTTGCATTTTTTCGTAATGAGTGTAAGGATAGATATGAATGTCACCGAGATTATTTATTTCGAGTAAAAGAAGAGTCTATTTTCCATGTAAACATCGATTCCTATCAATTGCATGCATCACGGGAACAAAACTTAAAGCAATCGAATGTGCGCATACGTTTGACGCAACCCTCGTTTCGATGGCCAATCGTTTCTTGAATTAACTTGTATTCGGCCGAGATCGTTGACATACAACCACGTTGAACATTTGTTTCAGCTAGAAAACGAAAAAAAAACTACAGCATGAACAAATGAAAGTCGATTGATTTTTACCGCCGCGATGAAACCATGAGTAGCATACGCTATTTTCGTCATCGCATACTTGGTTGTAATCGTTCGAAGGTGTGTCGCACGATGGATCGATTTTGTCACATGTTCTACATTCAAGTGCATCACCTAAATGGATGACTCTGTGTATAGTAGTCAGATAAACTTTTCGACTTACTGACAGATAATAGCCAGCATAAGAGAAACACATGGAGTACAGACTTCCTCATCGGTTGCATCTCAGAGATGTTCAAGTAACGAAGAACCACTAGACTTGATTCTACGTTCCTGACGATAACGATATAAAGAGTTATTAATCATAGAAAAAGTTCAGTTCTCATGAGAATTTATAGGAAGAACAAAGAAAAGGTTCTGCAACACGTATCAAATTATAAAAAAATGCAGAAGAAAGACTAATTACAGAAATTGTATGCAAAACTATTAGGTAAATTAAATTGCAAACTTATGCTGAACAGGTGATACTTCATTCATATATTTAGCTCATCATATCTCGATAGGTTGAATGCATACATTTGAAATCGTTCCTATTTCATGCTGCTATCGATAAACAAAGCTCATTTATCAACAGTATCTGACTAATGACAATTGTAAACTGTCAAATATCTCGTTTGTATTCGAGTTACTTCCTATTCGAAACCAAGCAAATGAATCGCATTTTTTCTTCAAAGGATTTATTCGGACTTCGATAAATTCAAATTCGATCACAGTAAAGTACGCTTTGAATCATGTTCTCCATATAGAGATAACTTATTGAGTGAACAAATGCATGCTGAATGCTACGAATAGGTGATCATACACCTTGCCGGTTAGAACTCCTCAGATCCGCAGTGTATACGGTGAAATTGATCTCCTCCATGTATTACGCGTTTTTAACTTGGATGTCAATCAATGTACTACTCAATACGTTTTTTTTTGCTCCGTACATGCGAGAAACCTTCTTGAAATTGTAAGACTATGGATGAGTTTTGCATACAATACATTCGACTATTATTTTCGATTGTTTTAGTCATAGGTGTGTTCATTATACAAATTTCAAGTAGACATTCATGGGAATCACTCTGCAGTCAACCATTGGGAAATGTCTGATATTGAATATAGATGATACAAAAGAATCTGTTCCTTTTTATTTGTATGTCGCACACAGGCAAAAGAAATCGTTTTTACAATGAAGACAGAAGAAAAGCAAAAATAAATGTGTATGTATAATGAGTGAAAGAAAGATAGAGAAGAAGATGGGGTCAACCATTCCATTGCTATACTTCCCTAGAAAAGATATAAGAGAAATAAATTCATGGATCCGAATCCAAGCTAAAACAAACTTACGTAGCATCGAGTGTTGTATTTAACAACAGATGACTTCGAATATCAATTAATCGTCGTGATGTTAAAGAATCTCTACGGTAGGCGAGAAGATTGGGTGACGGTGCACTGTCATCTAATGATGGGATATTCGTTTTCGCAGAAGGATTTGTCAATGATGGCGATGATATTCTAATAATATCTGACTGTTGATTGTTAGAATTTTCAATATGAGTATCATTATGAAGTGTAATTTCATTTTGATCGCCCAACAGAAGATCGTCTGTACGTATTAATTCATTAGAACAAACAAACGTATTCACCGGTAGTCGAACAGTCGTTGATCGGTTATTATCATAATCGCTCTCATTACCACTAGCAACCAAAGATGGACTATCTTCACATGAATGTTTTGTTCGCAGAGATATTTGTTCATCCAGAGATCTTGGTGAATCATACACGTTGAGATGAACGGAAGAACCAATGTCATTCTCATCAAATATTCGATGACGACGATGACCTTGCTGCTGCTGTTGTTGTTGTTGACATGAAGGTCGATGAAGTTGAGTGCGTTTTTTAACACTTGCATATGGAGTACGGCGAAGAGAAGATTCCGGTGATGGTGAAGATGTTTGACCTGTCAAAGATGATGGAGTTTCTAGAGAAAAAAAAATGTGAAGAATAATTCAATAGAGTTTTCCTTCCTACCTGTTATTATTTGATTGTTCAATGTGAGTGTACTCGTGCTTGATGATGATGATAGTTGTGTGTTTAATTGTTGATTGATTTTTGCTTCTAAATCATTTTTTGTACAATCATCTCGTCCTTGATAGGAAACGCTTTGTCGAGGTTGACTGTCTATTGCTATAACAGTTGTTATTGAGCTTTTCCCATCTAATTCTTCATTTTTTATCGATGGAACAATTGAGGGTACGGACGATGACGTCGTTGTTGTTACTGATGAATCTTCATCTGCACTGAATAAAAATGATCCCGTGGAACTAACACCACTTGAACTATGTACACTACGGAAGGAATTCGTAATCAAAGATGAATCATTTTTTTCGCTTGACTGTTCATTATTCCATGACATCCGTTTGAGAATCGTGATTGATGATGAGGAGATTTGTTTCGTTGGAGTGGCTGATGAATTTGTGTCATGTGTACTTGTGCCATCCGCTGTGAAGTACCGACCGAAATTCTTTCGGTCTGTACGGGAATTTCGTCGTGTTTGTTCGACTATTTTGAACACGTCCGATTCAACTTTCGATGAACGTCGAGAAGCATCATCAGTGCCGGGATTTGGACTTTCCGTATTCGATACAGGTATATCAATAGATGGTGAGGAAGGCGTCGATGGACATTCAGGAGCTGTATTAGTTGACACAGATGAACTCGTTGTTGCATGGAGAGTTTGAAACTTGAGTTTAGATTCTTCCATTAACGACTGAAAATTCGCTTTCGTTGTTCGAATATTCTCTATCCATTGCTTGCTCAAATTCGTTTGAAATAAATAACCACTTTCGATAAGATTATACTCCGAAAAGACTAATGCAACAAATGATGCCTAGAATATAAGCAAAAAACGTTCGTTTTCAAAAACAAAACGAATTTGTTTTCTTCGCTGTTGAACGTACCGTGTTTGGTTCTGTATTATTACTATTGCCACCACGACGATCATATTCACGGACATCGATACGGTCAATGCGTATCGGTGGTTTGAGAATTTTATTTACTATATTTGATGATAGACGATTGGATTGTCCATCGCTGTGAGAAGATGTTAACGGTGAATTTGTTGAACCACTTCGTTTGCCACCTTTGGTGATAAGAAACATGTCGGAAAAGAGATAACAATAAACATCTTGACTATTCTTAGCATCTTTCATTTTCATGGGTCCTTGTTGAATAATCTGACGGCGGTACCCACGAACATGTAATGGCATATCTTGTTGAAGATCCAAACGATTCGATAATGCATCACGATTATATTCTTGAAGAATCTGAAAGAATTTTTATAGAAAAAAAAACTTAGATCGAACCGAAACATCAAATTGAATAAATACCGAAGAGAGTTCAGGTGGTGCTGAAACATATTCATATGGGCCGATACGATCATTTATCTGACGAATACGTTCTTCTTGTTCTTGATTATGTAGCTTCGAATTCACTCGATTGACAAACGTTGCCACTTTTTGAATCTAATATAATAGTATCGATGTAATTCACATAATCGAAGTTCAATGTCGAACTACTTTCTAGTAGCAGACAGAATAGCTTAGACTCATTGGATAGCGTAGCTAATTCATCTCTCAGTACGACACAATTAGAAAGAAAAGTATTCAAGGTTTCATGTAAGCGAAGACGCGTCTTTTCCATTTTGTTACTTGCTGAGTTAGTCTACGTTCTACAATAATAGCATTTGGGAATCTATCCAATGCCAATAATAGACAAAATATTTTGCTAGATGACGGGTAGATAAACAATTGCTCGAGATGTGATAGTATTTCTTCTCAAAAACGGCATCGTTATTGTAAATCTGATAAGACTGACAAAATAGCGCGACATGTCTACATATAGAAATAATGTAGAGAAATTTTTGTCGGTTTCTAGATTAGATCAACAACTACGGTGAAGATTGTCATGTTATTCTTTCGAAATTATTACGAGAAGATCTGATTGACATACCATTTCATGTAGATCGTGTCTTTGTTGCGTATCGTTTGTTTTCTTTTGGATCGCTTCAAGTAACAATTTATACCGAGTTAAGCGTTGCAGAGGTTTGATTGTCAAATCCGAAAATGATAAACGATTCGTATAATTGCCTTCGATCCACTAGAAACAGATTCAATCGTTAATTTGACCGAATAGCTTTAGTTCACTTACCGAAATCAAGTATTGAAATAATTCATCACGAGAAAGCTTCTGTTTGAAATATTCGGCACTTGTTTTCTGATCGAGGACGTAGTGTAGATACGATTTGAAATAGACATCAAACTGAAAGAAAAAAAGGACATCAAAATATAATCGAGAGAATCAGCAATGATGCTTACATTGACAAATCCGTTTTTCAAGTCAGATGGATTCATTGGTAGACCGCTCTGTTTAAGTTTGACTTTAATCGGTAGTAGAATTTCTTTCCAAAACAGTAAATTTCCATGCAGAACTTCTTGAATATTGGAAAATAACTTCTCCATGTCAATATCATTGAAGATTCCTTCACGCTGCGATGATTTCAATATACTAACACTAGTCATCAGTATATCAGTCATGGTAAGAATCTGACGTATGTAAGAAACTTCGGTTGTAAGTAATTCGTAGATCGCTTCTTGTTGCAGTTTGATGTTTTCGGATATTGACTAAAAGAAATGAAGTTTTCTCCGAGTGTCCTTAACCTCTCAGTATCCTAATCCTTCATTGTAAAACTATCCGGAAAGAAGAGAAATTGGTTTTGACTTGGCTGTACCAAGGAAAATAAAGATTATGTAATATAGACAAACTTTATCCTTTGCATCTTGCACTAGTCTACGAGAGATGAGAGAAAACGTGGCTTTTCTTTACCGATCGTGCTTGTTCGGTCAAAAACGGTTGCCATTCTTTTTCAATAACTAGATCACATTCATCAATCGAACATTGAAGTTGAGCTAATTTCGGCAGTCCATGCGTCAACCATTCCTCGCATTTTCGACGAACAAACGAGAGATTACTTTCGCTACGTTCTGACAACTCAGATGTATCCTAGGGAGAGAAGACAATAATCGAATTGTGCGTGAGAAGCAATCGAACTCACTCGTGTGAATATACTTCCAGCGAATATACTTGATCGATTGGTTTTATTGATACGAGTGGACGATTTTGCATCTTGATTCTCGTCATTGTCGAGCATCATACAATGCGTTGAGAGACGTTTTGATGTTGCTTTAGAATTCTTAAAAAGAAATGAAAAGGTCGGTTCATGTCATGCGCTGACAAGAGTTGTTTTAGTTGCGATATTGGAAATCGAGAAATAACAATAATAGGATAAAGGAGAAAAATGTTGTTCGATGCTTCCTAACTACCGCAAATGAAGCTAATCTTCGAAACTTGAGATATATGAAAATAAAACAGACAAGAACTCTAAATATATTTGTTGACAGTAAGCAAGACGATTTTCCTCTCTCTGCTTAACGTCGATTATCGAAAGTATCCATTAAGATGAAAACCGAGACGAGACATCGCTTTATTGCGTCTTTTTTCCCTTCGTGTCTATACGCCATGATGAGAAGGTCACATTTTTTCTCACTATTATCACTGAGAAAAGGATACAACAAACTAATAATATCATATCAATCATTTAAGACACATTTGATTCTTTTCCTTGATGCCAACGATGATTAACAGGTGAATAACATCTTCCTTGTTAGATTATTAACGACTGTCAAGTGTTTATCTGTTGTTTGCTACAGACAAATTTATTCCAATCACTTACGGAGGGTAATACCGCTGAACCCGTTGAATTCCGCTTTTCTTTTCGTTCCTTTCCCGCTGATGTCTTTGCCAAAGCTGGATTGATTGTTTCTAAACGAGCGAAAAAGAAATTAATCGGAAATCTTCTTTTCTTGGACGGAAAAAAGAACTTAAATGACCATTCTCAATCGATTCATGTGCCGAAGAAAGGTATGTCATATCATGGTAACTGATGCTTTTTTGTTTAACAAAATAATGTCTATCAATTTGTCCGGGAACAGACGAATCTTCTTCAGTCAATGCACAATTCCAAACGAATTTCGAGTTCGATGAATGAGAATCAGAATACGATTTCCGTTTCGATTTCCACGCATCAGATAATTGTCGACAAATCGATACACGTCGGCATAGCTCTCCATCAGTCATTTTTCATACGTAGAATAAGCTGTAAGATTTCTTTTGTACAATGAATGAAAGAAGTAATAAACGCTAATCGAAGGAGAGAGAATTATGTAATAAGGCGTGTATAGGACAATAACAACAAAAAACTGATAAGTAAGTTTTCTTTTTTTTTGCATCTCTCGTGTGCCTTAAATAGACTTTTCTATGCTTGATTGGCAGGAAAAAACGAGCAAGTTCTAATCGATCGATCTAATCACATGATAAATCGATTTTTTTTTCGAACTTGCTTCTTCTTTTTAACTTGTCAACTAACTTCAACTTCGGACAGGAACAGCAGTGATGAAATATCAAGATTAGCCGTTCTATTACATCATTGTATACATTTACAGACACTTCAAGAATGTATGCCAAGTGAGTTTTTTATGTGTGCGTGTATGAAGGGAACGAGAGAGAGAGAGAGAGAGAGAAGAAAAGGTTTTATCGTTAATTAGAACAGAAAGACGATATGACATAATCAATCAAATGGCTTCGATGTTTTAGATTTCTTTTCTCTATACCTGTTACAACAAGATCATTTAAAAGAAGATGTTTAACTGGTTGATCCAAGGACAATGGTAATGTAGGAGCACTCCGTAAACAAATGTAATATGTATCGATGGAAAGATTATGTTTTTCGAAGAGTTTTATCAACATTTCTCTAGAACAAACAAGAAAATCGCAAACCAATCGAAAAAGTCGACCCTCTTACCTCAATGTTGTGTTTTCAGATGTAGTAGAATATTTGAGTTTTTCTTTGAAGTTTTGCCCATTGATATCGTTGAAATAAATATACGTATTATCCTAGAATAGATATAAAAGCAATTATTTTCAAGGCAAAATCGTTTCTCACATATCGACTACATTCAATTTGCATGATTATTTGTCTCCACATTAATTCAAATCTTCCTTTCTCTCAATCAATTTTGTTCTGTCTACCCCAAACATACATTTCTAATCTGTCCTTCATAATAAGCACTCATTTACAAATAAATAAACTCTCCGAATAAACGCAAATCGAATCGAAGGTTTCATATATTTACAAAGAACTTTTCTTCAACAATAAACATACCACTGATGGCAAATTTTCTTCAGATAAAGCATGTTTTCGTGGATCAAATGTTGATTCATTAACTGTTGCTATTGCACTATTTCTTCGACTTGTATTAATTGATGTTGCTAGATTGAGAACTGACATACTGAATTGTTTACCAGACATATTCGTCTATTTCAACAAAAAATGTTTTCATCGAGGTGAAGAAGAACCATCAATATTTACTTCAGGTGAATCCAAAGCTAGATTAGATCGTCGTGTACGAAAGACATTGGTTAATAAACTACGAGTTTTTTCTCTAAAGAATAAAATGAATTAGAATAAGAGAATTTCTCTGTTGTTTATTTTGTTTTTAAATAAGAAAAACCTTCGTTTGTGAACGTCTGTTCTTGACATGGATATTTTAAAGTTAATGTGAAAAATTGAAAATCATTCCCGAACTTTTCTTTTTGTTTCTCTTCGATTCGTTGTGCTTTGTTTCTTCGTTTCTCACCATGCGTAATCATCTGATGTGAGGTGTGAACAATCGTTATACAAATAGTCAAGCTTATTTACTTAGTGTCGATGCGGACAACGAAAGAAAAGGAATGACAAGCAAGATTAATTAGAATATGAATTCCTTTTATATCCGCTATCACATATTCATATCGATGTCAACAGGTAAATAATGACACTTTGCAATTGACAATAGGAAGACAAAAAAAAAGAAATGATATTTCTTGATTAGATAATCTGAGAGAAAGAGCGAACGCTGTGTTTCAAGAAGATAAATACTGATTAATATACTAAAAGAAGTCGATTCGTTGATGACTCGAAATAACAAAAACAGTTGCTATTTACTAATGACACATTGCTAATATTTTCAAAGGCGTCATAACTTACTCGGGAGGATGTAGAAATTGTTGATGTATAGTGTTATTTTCTAATGTGAATTCGACGTTGTTTGTTGTCGTTGAATCATGGTGTTCGTCTAGAAGAGTGAAGATTTTTTTTTTGTAGAAAATAAACACGAAAACGAATTCGTTTCTTCGTTTTATATATTTACCAATCTCAGGGACAAGTTCATTATCATTTTCATCTTTGATGCCGCCCTAAAAAATAATCCAGAAGTAAAAACCTTCATTTCATGTCTAACTGTCTATATGCAAATGAAAATTCATTCCGACTCTTTCCTTCCTTCGATATTTTTAGTCGAAAAAAGAACAGCAATCTTTTTTTTTTGCTTTTTTTTAGGATTGTTTGTATTTCATCTCCTTCAATTCAATTAAAATAACACTAGCTTAGCTTTTTCTATTTATGTATTCTCTCGAAATAAGGATTCGATTTCGATTCGATCAAATCGAGAATGTACAAAATAAATACGCCGAGAGATTTCTTTTATCTAATAATCATCCTGCGTGAGAGACAAGGTCAGTTCGATTGAATAGACAAACTATCGAGACATCATATGCTTAGTAAATTAGAGTTTTCAATTTAATCAAACGAATCATTGATGCACCTTTCATTCGACGCTGTTTGCTTTTCGTTTTCTTTTCACTGTTTATACATGCATGCGTGTAGACAATCTTCTGATCGAATTAGAGCGTCCATACCAATGACGGACGTGCCAGATAATAGTCTGTATGGAAAATTAGTTCTCGTCACACAACAATGACATTTTGAAAGAAGAGAGAAAAAAAACAAATCAAACTATGAAAGAGAACGAAAGAAGAGAAGAGATAGGTGAAGTATTTTGGTCTACTTAGAAGAAATTTCATAGTAAGGTGTAATTAGCATACGTTGTAGTCTATTGATTCTTTCTTGAATGGTAAGTAATATGACACACATCCAACTTGCCATCGTCTCAATGACAGAAGAAAGCCGTAAATATATGTATGGTCAAGTTGACTGTCCCCTTTTATGATTAGTCGTTCTATTGACAAGGGAGAAAATCAAATATTGTCAATAAGTATATGACAGAAGAAGAATGAATAATACTGGGCAATAATCATCGTCAGCATTGATTCGATGATTGTTGGTTCATGCCATTGAGACATGAGAGAAAAAGAGAACGTAAAAAGGTCAGTAGCTAGCAATAATGTGATTCTCTCATGTGTACTTATAAATATGCATGTGTAATACAATGCAATGTCTGACATGATTGAAGTACAAATGGTGATGAATATATATCGATACTTTGACCATCACTCCTAACTATATTGAAGGTATATCATTAAACAGTGAAAATGTCATTGCCATTGTTGTTCTTAGTCTCGCAGACACCAGGCTCTCTATTATTAACAATAACAGAACGATACTGTCGGCGCTCATCATTATTGCTGTCTCGACAACCGTATCTACGTATGTGCGTATCAGGGCCAAACAATAATAAATTTTCTCGTTTTTTTTACGGAGACCAACTGTATTAACACTTGACCTTCATTGTATGTACGCATACACATATGTGTGTGTGTGTGTATATGCATGTTGAAAGTACGCGTGCCGCTAGTCAACAAACAAATCTTCTGACTAATGACAGGCGCATCTCAAGCTGATTAACTTCCTTACCTTTTCAGCTTGTTGCGATGACTCATGATAGTTGGTGCGTTGTCGTTTTAATGAATTATTTTCGTGATTATCATCAGATCCTATTAATGAACAAAATGAATGAGATATGTTCAGGGATGTTGTTTGATGATGTTGTTCGTGATCGATGTTATCATTGGCAACATTCGAATTTAACGTGGTTACAGATGAGGACTCTAGCAGATGATGAAATAATGATGGAAGACTTTGACGTCTTTTTATATGTAATTGTAATTGTTTTTGATCACGAAGTATCTTTGATGGTGATAATTGATGTTGATCATCGTTTGTCGTTAAACTTGGTCTCAGATACGTTTTCTTACATACGGAACAACGAGTCGATGCGGGATCGGATGGTGTGTTTAGCTTCGAAGCGAAGACACCAAATATCGATGGACGTCGCTTGTTCTTCGGATTTAGATCAAGATTGGAAGAATGTTGACATGGGAGACAAACATGTTCATGATCTACTTTTGTCACGGAGAGTTTCGATGACGACGAATGATTCCCCGAGCGAAATGTGAATGAGTGAAAAAGACGTGAAAAAGTCTCCTTTGACAAGCTTGACTTTGGTGTAGCCGGCAGTTTCATCGTTTTTGACGATGACGAACTCGTATGTTCATCATCGTCAGCGTCGTCGTCATCGTCATCATCGTCGTCATTATCATTATTGTCGTCATCGCCGATAACTACTGTCTCTGCTATATTCGGTTTTGAACCAAGCGAAAAGGAAAAACTTCGTTGTTGACCAAGAGGTACTCCAATATGATCAATGGAATCATGTTGTTTGAGTGATAATGTACGACTAACTAATATACGTTTGGATTCGTTTTCTAGAACCTGATCAAATTCGTCGAGAATCGTTATATGACCATTGTCGTCACCATCGTCGTCATTATTGTTCACACAGATTTGAGGTATAGGCAGTGTCGATGATTGTGGAGTTTTACCGCGAAATTTACGAGTCGGAGTAGCCGGTGACGACGTAGCGTCAATTAAAAGCTGAGAAGGCGATGAAGGAGCGTTTTGAGATTCCATTGAATGTTGTTTTTGATGTTGTAAATAACGACGAACCTTGTTTGAGCTCGTCATTATTTGATGACTGCTGTCGAACCTATAATGATGATGAAAGATTATCTTCTTTTTTATGCTAGTTATAGTAGACAAGAGAGTGTTCACTATCAGTGAAAGTAATAGAGAGGGATGGAGGGAGGGAAAGAAGAGCAGTCAAATTCGTTTCATGTGTTCTGTTCTTCTCCTTTTATTATAGGATGAAAGAGCAACGACCAAAATTGAATATCAAGAGCGTCATGGAGAAGAGGCACGCTCGCATGAGAGAAAGAAGAAGAAGAAGGGAAAAAATATCGCGCATAAAGGGAGAAGAAAGAGAGCTCATCGGACAAAAGGGAAAAGGGAGATGATAATAAAGTCAAAATTCCATTACATCAATTTTCGACGATGTTCATTGAATGCGTAAAACATCTTTCATCTTGTCTCTTGCGATTTCCTTTTATTTGTTCAATAAAAAAAAAAGTCGAGCTGAAAAAATACAAAAACATTTCCCGAAAAATGACGAAAACACATGCACAGATTGAGATTAACTCAATTATTAGAATCGATTGGTTCGAGATGAAGAACTTGTAATTGTTTTCTAATCAATATCTTTCGTCTTCGCTTTACCAGAACTTAGTCGTTTGTGACAGTGAGTGTAATTATTCATGAGAAGTCGAAGAAAGAGAAAGGGAGAGAAGGTAAAAAACAATCGAAGCTGATAAAATGCTCTTTACCTTTCTTTTCCCTTCATTTATCGAAGACAGACAAAAAAAATGCAATCAAGAAAAAAAAGACATCGATTATGCATGAGAAAAATTTTTTTTTTCACTATTTTTATCAATCTATTCTGATGTGACATATAACTCTTACTTTATGCGTTGATTACGATTGTCATTTTAGCCGATAGGCATTAAAGACATCACATCACGTCTGTTCTGTTAACCGATTTTCTTCGTCTTCTCTTTCTTTCCTTCGTGTCTGTTTGTCTCTTTCGAAGAGATCGTTTGTTTGATATGACAGACAATATACACAAGAAAGAACATCGAAGTTAATCATTTGTGTTTCTATTCCGTTGAAAATAACTTCAAACAAGGTAAATGTACTGGTTTCTTGTAAACATCACAGCACACACACACACGCGCGCGTACAGGGACAGACAGACATTCTAATGATCATATCAGTTGAATAAGAAAGGTTTCGATTTTTCGTTCGTTTGCTTTTTCAAACAGCTGTTTTGATAAGACGACGGATTAGGGAAAAAACGAAGAAGAAACACAATTTCTTTTCCTCTCGAAAGAATAACTCCAGTTTCGTCACTTCTTCTCCCTTCGAGGCTTCGACAACAACTGTGACATGCCAGTAATATATGTCTATTTATGTTAATTATCCTTCGGTTTTCTGTGTATCTATGTATATATTTGATATTCCAACTTAATCACAACAGTACAAAAAAAAGTTCACTAATCGAAATGTATTTGTTGATATTGAGATTTGATCAATGTTCGTGATCGATATAATCGACAATGTGGTAAAAGATAATGGGCAAGTAATTGTTTAAGTAACAATCGTCGTTTCACACGTGTCATACGAAAACGTATTTCATCGGAGTTATTTCCATTCAAATCCTTTTGTTTACATATTCGAATCTAAGGAAACGAACAGATGAAAAAGAAGAAAATATTCATTACAATCCGTTCTTACGGCTAATCTTTTCTTATCTTCATATCCACGCAAGTTCAGATTATCTAAAAGAAGAAAAACAGAAAACCAGCTGTTATTGAGCGAGACAAAACAGCAAATATGTTTACTAATTAAACTTTCTAATAATGCCAAATCCCAAATACATTCATAATAATCATCGATATCGTCGTTCATGTAATTTTCTTGTAAGGTTTTGAAGATTGTATTATAATCAGGTACCGAAAGCAATTGACACATGCAAGCGACTTGGGTGTGATAACCTAAAAGAATAGAATATATAGAACATTCATGAACGGCGTACGCGCTAAGTCAATCATATGGAAAGATCTTATTATTAATCTGGAGGTTAACTAATAGATCGAAATGAATCAGCCAGTTGTCTGGGTAGGTTATACTCAAGGAAAAATAGCAGATTCCATATGTCTTGAACCTTTTCTAATTAGTTTCTATTTCCATCTGGATTTACTCGAGAAAACTCTGCCTCGAACTGATGGATCGATGTTGAAAACGAACCTAATTGTAATGCTGCTTTGATCATGTTTCGTATCAGTGCATCATCTTGTTGAGTGATGGTTGGCGAAGAGAAAAGTCCAGTTTCAATTCCTATAGCACTTATGTAAGCATGCATGGCTTGGGTGTATTGTTGTAACGTAAGATGAAGGTCAGCTTGGGTACGAAGTAGAGACGATTTCGCTTGAATTGGTAAATACTCTCGCGTTTGAATATGTTGAGATAAAATTTGAATTAATTGTGCTAATATGGATGATCGAATTGAACGTTGTCGATAATCAATCGATGTTGGCCAATAGCGAGAATACTCGGAATAGATATCAATATGTGATTGATCGACGAGTACAAGAGAATAGAGACGTGACAGGAGAGAGAATAGGATTTGTAATAGGATTGGATGGTTAAGGTTGAGCAAGAACTTTTGAAGTTCAACAACGGTGAGTTTTTCGTTGAGTGTACTCGTTTGTTGATGGCGATTTCTTGATGGTCGACCGCCAGGCAGTTCTTGTAGTTTCTCTGATAAAATATCTGATATTCTTTCCCATAATTCTCGAGCAAGTTCAGGACGTATCTGCGGTTGATTTTCATTCGATAATAAACCTAAACAATTGACTATATCATTACAAGTCGATCACCGATCATCAAAATCTTACGTGCAAACAGATTGGCTATATCAAGATACGGACGCATGCGACGTACAGTTGGATTCAATGATTGAAGAAACTGAATTTCATTGCGAGACAATGCGTACGCAAGAATAGCTGATACTAAATCAGTATCGATATCTAAATATAGAGAGATGAAGATCTCCAAGTGCATCAGTCAAACGGAATTAATCAAAATGCTAATGAGAGGAAATTCTTTTATCGTTTAGAGTGAACTCAGTTCCTTTGATCAGTTTGTTTTCAGTAAACAAGAACATGACTTTATTTTTAGATCTGCAATCGGAAGAGAAATATCATTGAAGTTCATCAATTATTTACCTGTCTCAGAATGATTTTTCATGAGAAAATTTTGACATTCCATCCATAAACTATTTTCATTTTCGGGAAACGTTTGCCTAGATATGACTTCGTAAAGGTTGAACAATAGACGATCATGTTGCAAACATTTGATCACTTGTTCAATGCACAAATCTTGATGATGAAAAGATTTCAGAAGATCAATTGCTTGAGTTAACGATCGGTAGCTTTGAGAGTAGTTCTAAAAATAATCTCTTTGAAAAAAATCAAGGTTCAGTTTTGAAGATATCTACTTTGTACGATTGTGCTCGTTTGGCTTTATTATAGATAATACGAATGACGTGTCCCAGTAAATGATTGCTATTCATAAGCATGTTTATTGCTTGATCAGTGAATGTTTGTTTAAACGACTAGGGAAGAAAAGGGTTTACTGTTGGATGTAATTCATTTTATTATTTTACCGGTGGAAATAATTCTTCAAGTATGGGAATCGATTTGGCATTTTCTAAATCTGTGATCATTTGCGTGAGGACTTCGGGTTCTGTGGAGTGAATTAAACGTGTTTGACACTTGAATTGTATTGAGCCTATGTAGGAGATGGAGAGAGCAGTAATTTCGAACAACATCCGTGGTATGAGTCACTCACTATTGGGTCTATCGAGTAAAGTCGATCGTGGCACTGATTCGAATGTTTTTGACCGAGAGACAGGAGCAGAAAATGTCGAACCAACTAGATGTGTTAAATTATTTGAACGTAGTTGATCTTGCAAAGTCTTCGGTAGTTTGTGAAAATGAATTCTAAAGTAAAGTTGTGTTTGTCTTAATAATTTACGTTATAAGCTTGTGCATACTTTAAGAAACTGTTCAGCAACGACTGTTGTTTGAGCGGCACTTGTTTTAAACTCTGAAGTGCCTTAAAATAGACAATGACCAAAATGCTACTCTTTGAAATAATCTGCTACTTTGTCCAGATAGTCGAAAGCATATTGAGTATTAGATACATGTTTTCCATCGAGTAAAGATCGAACTAGATTGAATGAACATACTACTCTATATTGCTGAGAGCCACTAAACGATAAAAAGGAAACAATCAGCTAGACAGAGATAATTGTTCACCAAATCGGATATGTCGTGATTATCAACAGAAACATGATGTTCATTTGGACACTAGTCTATTAAAAGTGAAGAAACGAATTCTTACATTTCTAGTCGATCTTCTAATCGATGTCTTGCTGCCATGGTCATCTCCTTCGTTTCATTATCATCTCCTAACATTAATATATAATCCTAAATGCAAAATTCCAATATAACAATTACAAACGATCATAGATTGATTTACATCGATAGAGGTGCGTGGCGATGGTATACCAATTAGAAATCGCTCTTTCGATTTCTGTAGAAGATTCGGTTCCATGGATGGATTGATCGAATTTAACGATGTTAAATATCCATCTAATGACGAGAAATAGGTCGTTGGTTGTAGCTGATTGCGCACGTCAGCGACGCGCCGGAACATGGTATGAGCGTTCAAATAATTTTGTTCATAGAAATAAATCGTTCCGAGATCATATGCAATCTAATGGAGAACAATTTTCCTAATGAATATCGAAATCAATAGACAAAAGTTAATTTCTTACACGTGCCACACATTCGACCAGTGGATAAACTTGAGTACGAGACCAATCGCATGGTACTGTACCATTCTCAATATCGACTAAGTCAAAACACGCGTCTACAGGTATGCGCACGACCGATTTCCATTCTAGTAGAGCTTCTAACGCTTGAATACTCTCTCTCACCTTTACGCGTGCCATTTCTATAACATTTTCATTTGGTCCACGCATATGCTGTAGAGGATTTACGTATCCAGCTCTAGAAAGATAAGTTTCATCAAGATTTCACCGAAAAATCAGCCATACACATTCACTTGAAAGATCTTCACCGGTTTCGTTGGGAATGATGATTGCACGCATGTACGTACAGTCCTGCATAATAGGAGAAGGAAATTTATGGAAAACTACCAAATCGATCATATACATACCATCGATGTAGCAATTGTACGGCAAACAATGCTGGCTCCTGAAGTTTATTCAGTTGCTGTAATTGTTCGCGATCTTTATAATTCTTATCACTTTGAGTAGTTAATCGAACGAAACAATGTATGAGATCTGATGCAACTGCTACCGGAATACTAGAATCAAAATACAGTAGTAGATTATTAATGTGTTCATCTGTTTTCTTACCGCTTTTCGATTATGGTCAAATCCCAATTGAGTTTAGCCGCAATTTTCATTGCCAAATGTCTCAACGCTCGAATTCGATTGTCTTTCAACTCAATATCATCTAAATCAAATCTGTAAAACAGCGAATACTCTCAATTAAGTTAAATTCTCCTACTTGGATTCTCGGTCGCCGTTTTAAGTTTGGTCTTTTGTTCAATTAAATTTGCACTGATCAAAAACTGGATAATCAAGTCAGTGCCAGTGACCTCTTCAAAATAGAACAAAATAAAAAAGAAGAAACAGGTATTATCTTCGTCGAGACATTTCAAATGAAAAAAAGCTTTACCAAGATTATCTTCTGTGAGGAATGTATCTAGTAATGTTGGATTGAGTAAAAATTCAAACCAACTGGCTGTTTGAGACTGTCCAGATATAAATTCGCTCATAGTAATCTTATCTACAACATTCATATCTTTATTAAAGTAATAGCACAGGAATAGAAATTTAAAAAAAGTAGAGCTCTTTTTTTGTTTTTCAATACCCTTCTCAAGAGAAAGCTATAATAGATAGAGAGAGAGAAAGGAAAGAGCAGCTTAGCTGCTTACAAAATAACCATAACAAGTGATAATAACAAGAAAAAAAGCACATCTATTTGTTTCTGGAATTGATTCAATTATTGGACGATATTGCTTCAGGGAAGTGTTCATGATATCGTTCGAGGCGAAGATATTTAGCAACGATTTCTCGACCTAGAATCGGAACAAAATGTATTGGAGTAGACAGATTGAAAGAATTCTACCGTGATATTTCCAATTGTTCAGTAAATGAAAACCTTTCGAAGCGGCTTCTTTCGATGAAAACTTCAGATAAACATAGACTGAATAGATGCCGATATGTTCGATTCGGTGAACCGTTGCACAACGATTTCGTATACTATCAATAACGAGATCGATTTCATCATCGTCAACCATCCTAAAACAACGAACGATTCATCTATTGTCTTTAGATTTTCTTATTCTTACGTGTCTGAATCGAAGAAGTTTCGTAGTTTGAGACATTGTGTCAGGCCAACATCGGGTGGCATATACACATAACTATCCTCGTTTGTACCATGTGGTGATTCCTAGAACAAGTCGATGAGACACCATCCGACGAGAAAAATGAACAATTTACTGCTCGTTTTTTTTTGGGTGACGATGGACTTGATGATGAACGTGGTTGTATCCATCTCCATACATCATGCTCTTCACCATGAATCAATTGGGATTCTGCGCGAACGCGTGATTCGCGTTCGCTGATTTGTTTCTTCGCTCGCTCCCAGAGTTCCTTCAATTTTTGCCTAGAAAAATCGAAAGAAAATCTAAGCAGAGAAATAATTGTAAAATCTACCTACCGTTCGTGTGTTGGAATAAGCATGTCACGAATATGATTGATGGCAACCCACGGATCAGTTTCAGGGTTACGTAAATGTTCATCGTATTGTTCTTCTAAGAGATCGATAATCTTTTGAGTCAAGTCTTTGTAAGTCTTTTCGCGTTCTTCAAATTGGTTTTGACGTCGTTTCCAAAGCCAGCCTAAGGCCAAGAAACCACTTGTACCTAAAACCAATACGATTGTGAATGTATCGAACAGATGATCCGTCTTACCTAATGAGAGCCATGCTAAATTTCGCATGATGGATTGTGCACTTTTTTGCAAACGACACGTTAGGGAATATTTGCCACCTTCTGAACTTAATTTTGCCGCATTGTCATAATCACCTGTGGGTGCGTTATCGGAAGACCATATTCTAAATATATGAAAATCAAACATTCGTTGGACTACTACGAGTTAGAAACGTACGAGAGCTCATGATCACCCTCACGACCAAGTATATAGGCTACCAGTGTCTTCCATCGTTCTTCAGGACCGTTTTCAAATTTAAATCCCTAAAAATAGGGTAAATCATAAAATTCAGCAAAGAAACATGATCTGTATGTTTACTTTTTTATCAAGATACTGATTGATTTCTTTTTCGGGAACGTATCGTTCACTTTTTTTGCGCATACCACACTCGACTTCTCCTAAAACAGACGGCATTCAAAATATTTTCTTGTTCACCTAGCCAAATTACCAGTTCGTATTTCTAGATATTGTTTCACAGCATCGTATACCGGTATCATTTCGTCGCACTGTGTCTATAAGACCACCATAGTAAGGATATAAGTAAATAGTAAAAAATAACTAACTTACCGCATTCTGAGGAGTGCATGTAATACCTTTAAAAAGGAGAAGAGAAGTTCGAATCGAGGTTTTTTATGCAAAGAAACTGTACCTCGTGAATGTGGAATTATCTCATGTGCTTTCTTTTTTAAAACAATTAAACCACCGCCAAGAAGTATGCCGATGAAAGCCATTTTAAGCACATTTAATATTACATCTCTATTCACTTTCCAAAACGACTGAATTTGTTTTCCTGTGCGACTAAACCATGATGGTTCTTTGGGTTTGGCTAGCTCAGATCTTGGTGGTTGTCGTGGACGAATTGAAGTTGAGGTTGCGGTTGGACGAAGAGGTGTCGTGATTGGTGATGGTTCATAATTAGATGAAGAGATATTTGCGTGAGCAGCACGCGTTCGATCACGTGCAGAACTGATCAGTTGTTGAATTTCACGCCGATGACGAGCAACTGAATAAAAAGCAAATCATTTCATCAGAAAACATTAAAACGACGGCTTACTAGATTCTTCAACATCGGACGTTGCTCTGGGTGATATGTGAGTATCTCTTCCAACGGCAATCGATCGTGTTGTTGGCTTAGCTGCTCTCGATGGAGAACGTGATGGTGAAGTATCTGTTTCCGAATCGCTCAATTCAATCAAACGACGTCCAGGACGTGAACGAGCCGTTGCACGTGATGGTGACGTAGTAGAGCGTGTACGTGTAGGTGATGTTCGGGGAGGTGAACGCGATCGCGTTTGAAGAACTTCAAGACGAGCGCGCAGTTGTTCACGGTTTCTTTGTGTTATGGGAGGAACTGTTTCACCTAATTGTATCAGCTCTTGACGCAACTGTTGATCAGTAAGAGGCATTCTATTCCTTAGATCTGTTTGAAAGAAATGAATGTTCTGAAATATCAAACAAGAGATGATCTTCAATACAAAATCATTATTGCGAAACAAAGAGTGAATAACAACGCTGATATTTTGAAATGAACGAACAAAGAGCCAATCGGTATTCGTTATAATAATAACTAATCAGAAGATGACGCCCGAAGTGACATCTAACTCGCTAATCTTCTTATAACTTCATAATAATTTCCCTCTAATTTCTTTAAGTATTTTATAGCCCATCCATTGAATTTAGTCACGGATTCTTTTACACATCGTCAAGAGTTCATTTGATTCTCCGTGTATGAGAACTTCATTAATAAAAAATCTCTATTTAACATTGTACACCGTGATTTCGGCGAAAGTTTGCATATATATCATTCAATGAATATGCAAACACATAAGATGTATTCTCGCTGCCATGATACTTGTTTGTCTTATGATCAGACATGTATATACATTTTGAAAATGAAAAAAAGTCATTGTCTTAAATAAACAAACCGAGAGTTGAAGGGAAGGCGAGAGAGACAGAGACAGAGACTGAGAAAGAATAAGAGAAGTCGTCGAACGTCAAACAAACTCATTTGCTTGTAACAATATTTGATACCTTGCTGTATTTATTCTCAATCTCTACTAGAATAAAGATGAAAATCATAGTAGAGAGAGAAGTTTACTAACCGCATATACGGTACAATCGATCATCTGTTTCAAGATGCTAGAAGAAAGAAAGTATGATTCTTTTATTCTTTCTTTCTGTGCCTTTTCACTTGTCTTGTGTCAAACACATTCTGTTTTAATAGAATTTCAAAAAGCATCCTACATTGAAGTGAAAGAGAGAGAGCGAGCGCAAGACAGCGCTACGCACACACTCTCTTAGCGAACTTTTCATAATTCTCTCTCTCCCTCTCTCTCTCATTTTTCTCTCTGCTATACTTCTTCTGCAACAATCATTCTCTCTTTCATTCGACACAACAGTCTTTCACTTGTCTTTACAAAGTACACATCTGAAAAAACCAGTTCGATGTCGATTCATTCTAAACTCGTAAGTTGAGGTAATTCTAATAGAACTTCATCCTTTTATATTTACTATCCATTCGAATCGGTACTAGGAACAGACAGACGTATACTATTGATACTAAGCGTTCGTAGAACTCCACACCCACTTGAATTACCTTACGGTACTATATGTTTGAATGTCAATTTCCTTTATTTTCAGAGAGGTATATGACAACGTTTCTCTTCATATTTGAGCAATTTGACGTGATAGCGGAAATGCATTCGTTTTTCTTTGTCGCATCTTTTCTCTTTTTCAATCTACTTTACACATTAATTTTTGCCTCGTTGTACGTCTGTCATTTCAAATCATCAGCCGAAACGCGCGATGACGTGCATCTGTATATTCCTCCAAGTTAGTTGTTACGAATGAATAAGAAGTGAGCGAGAAAGAGACGGACATAGAAACGACGAAGGAAGTTATTACAGTGGAAATGAAAAGAAATACTTCAATCAGTGCTAGAGAGATACGATGGTCAATTTAGACACCATACACATCCATCCATTCACCTACAAATCTGCACTCATCTCCATGTTATTCACTTCAGTTGCATTTAATCACTTTACTTCGTCGTCACACTTGAAAGAAAAGAGCTTTTATGTTATACTTTTAGGGAATGAAAAAAAGTATTTTTACAGAGTGCGAGATGAGAGAATCATACTTGAAGGAGAAAAAAGGTTGAGTCAAATAGAATGGATTCATCAAGCGAAACATTGTTCAAAAATGTATGATCACTCATCGAAGAAAAACGCAGACAGAGAGAGAGAGAGAGGAGGCAAAGCGAATGGAAAGTACTCCTCAGATGTTAGTTGATTCTTTCATTCTTGGACGTGTAATGTCAATTTATTCAAGTTAGGCCAAAAATCATCGATTCCATTGTCCTATTTTTAGAATTTCAACCACAGACATACTCTTTCTTTTTTCTTTAAATCAACACCGCGCATTCTATCTTTATCTTTTTTCTCATTGTATGCATACATTTAAATATACATATATGTAGCTAACAATCATTCGAAGGCAAATACACACCGTTCATTATTGAGATGTATCTTTACTGAGCGGTTGATTTCTACGATTCCGCTTAGTATCGGTGCATCTTCAACAATCGGATTCGGTATAGCGAAAACAATGAAATTCACCATGACTTGTTCATATATGATTATTTACAACGATTTTTCGCTATTTTTTGTTGTTGTTGTTGATGTGCAAATAAATAACAATGACGAATAAAAAGGCTTCTCTATTGTTATAGTCAAGTACTATCGAACAGACATGTGACATTGAAGAATAGTTTTAATTTCAAGCTCTGGAAATTTTCAAAAGTTTC